GATAAAACAGATCATTTGAGGAGTCGGATTATTTAAATTTAGAATTGCTCAAATGAATTCAAGGGGTGGGAAGTACTTCATTGACAGCGTAGCCCAGGGGTAGGCAAAACACATGCTGTGGGCTGGATCCGGCCTGCCAAGTGATTCTGTCTGGCCTGCGACCTTCTCTCGTCTGCTCCCTCCCCCCAGCGGGAGGCACCAGCTCCAGTAGCAGCAGCTCCAACTCCCAGGACTGCAGCCTGAGATGGAGCATGGTGGGGGCTGAGGCATGCAGCAGGGTGAGTGCCTGCAGAGCCATGGAGGTACTCAGCTCCTAAACACGCCCTCCTGCCCTCTCTCTCCCTCTCCCGCGGCTCTTGCTGTGGGCACTGGTCTGTGCTGGGCTCCAGGCAACTTCCTCTCCCCCCACCCTGAGGAGCAAATTTGCACATGGAGGCAGTGGAGAGGCAGTACGGGAAGCAGGAGCCCTCCCTGCAGCCATGAGGGTCAGTGCCATGGCACTGCTGGCCAAGTGGGGGGCCGCTGCAAAGACCCTGGGGTGGGAACGGTGGCAGTAGACCCTAAGCACTCTGCACATTACTTCAGCTGTTCTTTATTTCTTCAGATATTCCCGCCCCCCTCACTGAATGGAGTAGCCAGAGTGTTTTCAAAGAATAACACAGATTACGTGACTATTTAACAATATATATAGAAAGCTTTTTTTGAACTGGCAAATCCTGATGTTCATGCTAAATTTCAGGTGCGGTTTAATCCAATCAGAGAGCAGAAGCAATATCATGACATTTGTGTGCACCCAGAAGTAACCAACACAGTTCAATTACTGAGCACCCATGCTCGATCCACAAAGAAGAGTGGTATTCATAGAAAATTATTTGGCACAACATTTTGAAACAATGAGTATGTTCATAAAAATTGAAAGCAGGTCTTGGGCAATTCCCGTGAGGAAAAGGAGACCAAATTAATTCAATAAGAGTGTTCACCACTGTAACCATCAGGGCTCAGAATAAGAGAGTTCTGGTGCTGCATACCTACACTTGAACATGGCTACAGGGCTTTTATAATAGAAGTAGGTCTGAGCTGAACAGGAAAGTGGACAGGCTGAGAAAAGATAAAAAAGAAAATAGTCCCATCAGCAGTTTCTGGCCACTTCGAAATCCAGGAGAAGGAATCAGTACATCATTTGTATTATCCCTAGACCCTATGGGATTTTCTTTGTTGCTTTATTGTTAGTGTTTCATTTGATATACTACCTGGCTCTCAAAAGAATAGTCTTGACTGCCACTGGAAATTCTGGCAGCTTTCTGTTACTAAAAATACGAACTTCTTTTTCCCCCTCAAGAAGACCAATACGTATAGAAGCTAATCTGTCTGTATTACTACAGTTTAGATGAACAGCTGCTGGGGGGAGAGGGCTTCTTAAAGTTTGTTAAAAACTATGTGTGTATAACAGGAGATGGGAGAGAGACAGGTCAAGATTTTAATTTGGACAGAAGGAAACAGGTCTGAAATGGAGAAGTAGATCTGTGACTCCTCAGCATAGGAATTGCACTTGGAATTTGTGTTTATAGATGAGATTACACAAATTAAAGGGAGAAAGAAGGGTATCAAAACCAAAGACCTACAGTATCCTCACAGGAAGTGGAGTGGATGGGAAGATCACCCAAAGCACATATTCAACGGGTGTTGATGCAGGTAGTGAAGAGGAACCAGGAGAAGACAGAGTCACAGAGGCCAAGACAGTACAAAGTTCAAAGGTCCTTGATACACTGGCTTGGGCCATAGGTGACTGCCAGTTCAAGAAGAAGAGGCCTTTGGAGATGTTTAGTTAGAACAGTTTCAGCGGGGTGCAAGGGGAAGAAGCTGGGGTGGAATGGGTTTAGGATGAAAAAGCAAAGAAGTGCAGTCAACAAACATATTGATGAAAAGGGAAAAGCATTAGGGTGGTAGTTGGAGAGGCAAGTGGGATCAAGGGTAGGGATTGGAGAGACAAAAGCATGCTGGTATTGCATTACGGGTATGGCAGCTTTCAGTGTCTATGAAATTAATAGAAGCAAATCATGTTCAAACTAGGAAGCTGAACAAACTATTTGTAATAAATGATTAGTCCATTTTAGATAGCCTCTATTTCTTGTTCACCAGAGCAGCTCTGCTGACTCAAAAGACAGCACTATTTCCTCTGAATCAGGTTTAAACAAATGTCCCTCAATGGTGGTAGAGACATTGCCACTGGAGATGCTGTCTTTCAGGTAAGCAATAAACTCAAAGTCCTTAACATTTATTTTTCACCATTGCAGGAAGTGACAGTGTTTAGCAGAGATTGGCTTAAATTAGACACCCTCATCCAAATACTGCTCAACCTTGGTGATCATGCAGGGGGAGCGCCCAAGTTCAAATCATGATCAGACTGTTGTGATTCCAGTCTGTCTTTTATACAACTCTTCCTGGACCCCTTCCAAAGTATCCTGAGTTTTACTGTCATTTGAAATTGGGGTGACATTAACTCTACCATTTAAGCAATGTTCTAGTTTCAGTGATGTCATCCTTTGCTCATTAAAAGTCCATTGTTTAAATGAATCGTAGGAAAGAAGGGCTGAAAGGGACCTCATGGGGTCATCCAGTCCAGCCCTTTGCTCAAGACAGGATCATTCCTAACTAAACAATCCCAGCCAGCTGTCTGTCCAATCTACTCTTGAACATTTTCAAGGATAGAGAGTCCACAACTTCTCTAGGTTGCCTGATCCAATACTTGACCACCCTTACAGTCATAATCTCCAACCTAAATTTCCTCTTGCACAGCTTGAGGCCATTGCTCCTAGTCCTGTCCCCTATGGCCATGGAGAAAAGCCCATCTCCATCCTTTTTATAACTGCCCTTCAGGTATTTGAAGACTGTTATCAAATCCTCCCTCAGTCTTCTCCTATCCAGGCTAAATAACTCAGCGCTTTCAGCTTCCCTCCTAAGTCTTGCTTCCAGGCCCCTAATCATTGTTATTACTATGTGCTGGCCTCTTTCCTAATAGAGCACATCCTTCTTGAAGAATGAGTACCAAATCTGGACTCTCTACTCCAGATGAAGCCTCACCAATATTGCCAGAATGAAAGAATCAGTTCCCTTGATTTGCAAGTGACACTCCTATTAATACAACCCAGTATGCTGTTGCTTTTCTTTTTTTACAAGAGCATCCTGTTGGTTTATATATAGCTTATGGTTCATTGCAACTCCCAGATCATTTTCTGCAGTACTGAAGCCTAGCCACTCATTCTCCAATCTGTATTTGTGCATGCAATTATTCCATCCCAAGGGCAGGACTTTGCACTTGTCCTTGTTGAATCTTGAGGATGTGTTGTATCCTCCGTTTTGGGATATGTTGATATGTAGCATTGTCATTTGTTATGCATCAATTGCATTCCAGCCCATTAATGACTGAAATAATAGCATGCATTCAGATGTCAGTGAAGGCTTTGCAAATATCACAGTGATCTCAAAATTTAGAAAGAACAAGGACAAGAATTAGGTGGTTTCTACATGGACCAGAAAACGTGTCAGGGGAAGGTGGATACAATAGCAAGAAAAATGTTGCAAGTGACTGTACTCTGTCCTTCAGCTCATGAGGCTTTAAGCCTTTCAAAGCCTCTCAATAGACTGCTTCTTTTTCTCTACTTGCCTTTATCAGATGAGTGGAAGTTGCGTTGAGCAGACTGTCCACAGAGGAGGATGGGATATTACAGCATACTGACGTGTCTTTGCTGTGCTGTGCACCCCAGAGATGCAATTCCCTAATTTTAGAAAATTTAACATTAAAGTTGATTTGAACAAGGCAAAAATAACAACAACAAATAAGCATTTAGTCCGAACCAAGCCCACTTAATATCACCATTGATATTTAACTGCATTTGCCTGAAAGGGAAAACAAATAATTAAAAATAAGCAAACAGAAACAGGAATCCAGCATCTCTACGACATCTACTGTGTCCCAGCACATGCTGTGTGTATTTATAGTCAAGTGACAAAATTATAAATATTTGATCATGGCAGAACAGAAATGTAATAAAGATTGAGCACATCCCTTAAACACACAGCTGCTTGGATGTGCGTGTTTGAAGGTTATCTTCGTGTCCCTGGGCCTGCAGTGATCTCTACATAGGCAGATCTGTAGAGCTGGGTCCAACAGGTTGGGAGCCTTGCCTTGATGAAACCACCTCAAAAGAAGCTGTATGCTGATCCCCAGGCAGCTGAGCTGCATGAGCTATGACCTGTATCCTTTTTGTTGGTTTAAACACAGTACTTACCACCTGCTGATGTCCAACTGAAGTCAGTGAGAAGATTTCTGTTGGGCTCAATGGGCTTCACAGAAGATTGTAATCCCCCTGTGCCGCTTTAGGTCATCCGCACTCAAGTCTCTTACCACGTCAAGGAGGGCAGAGTCATGCTTCCAGGTGCAACGCTTGCAAATGGTTTTAAAACCGGGCTAGCACAGGAAGGACAAGAGGCGTGCCTCGTTCTCCTCCACGTCTTGGCAACCAACGTGAATATGGATGCTGCAGCTCTCTTAATCCAGAGCGCCCGCAAAGCATTGCGATTAAAAACCATGTATATCCTTGACCAATGTGCCTTGTTCCCTGCGCTGTTCAATGCATGGCAAGGGAGGGGAGGGGAAGGACAGGGAGGATTTTCAGGGTTTCCTTTTTTTTTTTTTACTCTGCTGTTGTACAGATGAAAACGAGTGAGGTGGAAGATGGGCCTCTCTCCAACCGCACTGTTGTAGGTCTTTGAATGCCCTAAGTGGCATTTGGGGGGCTTCATCGTGTCAGTTTATGCCTTCATAATAATTGCTTCCAAACCAGAGTGATTTATCTTGACTTGCTCAACAGTGTACATGCACTCAGTCAGTAAATTGATGCTGGGGGGGGGGGGTTCCCCCCCACCCCTCTTGGAAAAAAAAATGTTAAAGGATACTGTGATCTGCTCGGTAATAATCACACACATTTCCCATCATTTAGGTCTGTAAGAACTCCTGACATTTGAAGCTGTCCTACCGAGTTGCCGTGGCAACAAGAAAAGGAAAGCGTCAGATCCGAAGATTGCAGTTTACAGTTACTGTTCTTCACTACTAGGCCTCAGTTGCTCCAGATTCAGTTTAATTTGCCACCTCACTTAGTCTGCCCGACTGTACGTCAGTGTTTGACAGCCTCTACCCTTACATTCGTTTATTAATGGATTCCTCTTGCAAGATGCAAGGTTTATGAGAATTTTCACTGAATGTTAAAAGACCATAATATCTAAACTTGACCTTCTCGGAGCAGAATACTGAATGACTCCATTTTTTTTCTATCTGTTGACTTGTTGCTATTCAACTGTTCAAAAAATATTTTGTCTGTGGGTTAGTATTTGTATATGTATGAGTGTATGTATATATATATATTTATAGAGAGAGAGAAGAGATATACAATAGGTTTAGCTTTTATATGACATCCATCTGAAGTTCTAAGAGGGCAAGGATAGAGCAACCCAGGCACAGATGAGTGATGCTAACCATCCTGTTCTAGCTAAACCCATTGTATGTGCTGTTTATACAATGGTGCAACAAAAAAGGAGAGAACCTACTGCAACTGTATTGTTAAAAGAGCCCGCTTGAGTGGCACCAAATAAAGTCTATCGAGTGCTCCACAATGTCACTTCTTGTACTTCAGGTTCAGCAAACAAGAGGTGCAGATTCCCAAGTCTGCATTTCTGATTGAGATTTCTTTCCTTTAGCCCCAGGTGGAACTGATGATACAACCCCAGCATCTCTTCCCTCCGGGCCCCAGTGGCAACAGTGCTGGAAGATCAGGGAGGCTCTCATTTATAAGAGCATAAAGCAGTCAGCTGGTGCTAACATATTATAAGTCAAAGAATATTAGGGCACTCTGAGCCTGATTGTAGAGGAGGCTTAAACTAGGCATTTTCTGTTCCTGTAGATAAATACTTGATGGCATCAGTTGAGGAAATGTAAACAGCTCGTGCCAGCGCTGCGGGGGCAATCAGGCAGGTAGATGTCTACATGTCAGAAGGACTGAGACTAACAAGTGTATTGGCATTGCTCAGAAGCCCCGATCCATCCTCTTCCAGCTCCCCGACCACAGAGGTCCATTCTCTCTCAAACTCTGTGCAGCTCCCAGAGAGGAAAATAGATCCCCTATCATATAAATGTGTTCATATATATAGTTTGGTTTGAATATATATGTGTGTGTGTGTGTGTGTGTGTATACACACACACACACACACACACACACACACACACACGTATATATATACACACATACATACACGTGTACACACACACACCCACCGTTTCCAAATAAAAGTAGCACGAGCATTTCTTTGTGTGTGTGAAATTAACCACACTCGTTTGCAAACATGAAAAATCAAGGGTGTTCATTATATATGACTAGGAATCCTTTTTTTTTTTTTTTTTAATTCTGTGAGCATGTAAAGTAAAAGAAAACTCCTAACTGTATCAAGACAACCATCCTGTTAATAAATTGTAAATGATCCATCAGAGCTCACACCAAATTTTTATAAAATTAACAAAAAAAAGAAAAAAAAAAGAAAAAAAAAAGAAAAAAATACTAGTGACAGACTGTGGCTTTTACTAGAGCTTGCCAGTAACTAGGGTAAAGTAAGTGTCTTAGAATATTTTAATAAACTTGCTTATTTAAAGTTTAAACAAACAAACAAAAAGGCTTTCTTATGCAATAGAACTTTGCAGCTGCATTCTTTAGTTAGCATTTTTACGGTACCTATGGGGCATACTGTATGTTGTCTTTACTACAGCAAAATTATAAGCATACCTTCCACATCATGTATATGTTTCAGTAGCAAAGCTTTTTGGAAGCATTAAACAAAAAAAAAATAAAACCCAGCTCCAAACATACATTTAGTTTCTCATGATGTCACACTAGATATTAAATGTGTCTTAGTGGTTAAAAAAATTGCTGTATAATAGCTTTTTCTCTGACTTCCTGTATTGTACCAAATATGACAACAACCAGTTTTGGGGGGGTTTTGATCTAAAATGTTAATAATAATGGTGGCAGCAGTAAAGTTAGTGTGTGTTGTGGACTGTCCAAATTTGGTAGGCCTCTTGATAAGACAGAATTTGCCTCCACGCAAGAACCTGTTTTTTCTTACAGCCAACTCTGCACTCCTGACCCAAGGAGACCTTCCATTGACCTTGTTCCTCTCACAGCGCACCTAGGTGTTTAAATTACCCAAGTGGTACCTGGAGGTTATTTGGAGTATCTGCTGGTTAAGGACTTAGGATCAGGCTGGCAGGTAGCTACAGGCAATTAAGCAGGAAGTGCCTGATCTCAAGTATCACTCCTTCATTAACATGGGCATGCTTTCATTCCACAGCTGCTCTCCCTGTCACTGCATTAGGCCAATGCTGCTACTTTATTGTCACATACAAAACAAGCATTACTGCAAAGTCAAACTAACGAATGAAAAATAACGTTATTTACCAGTAGACAGTTTTTCCCTGTGGGGAACTACATCCTGTGCCTTGGTTGCCCAAAATCCAACCTGTATGTGACCCTGAAAAAATATACTTTTCTAATGGCATTCTCCCTGCCTAGCCAGAAGAGAGACTACAAGTGACTTCAGTGTGCTATGTGAGAATCCCTGCTGCTTCTTCAGACCAAGGGTCTAACCACCCATTTTGCATCTTCTTAATGAGAATCCAGATTAGGTGTGAAAGACATTGTTTCAGTCTGCAGTTCCCTCCTACTGGTTTGCTATACAGTAAGAGATCCCATGCAAAGCATATTGTAGCCTTTCACCTAAATGAGGGGTGGGTATCAATGCAGATATTTTCTCAGTGAAAGTTCAGGATCACAGAGGCACCAATGTTTTCACTCACCATTACACCCTTCTCATTTGCATCACCTAAATTGATGGCATTTTTTGCAAACTGCTTTCCCAGGCTTTCACATTCACATGCCTGTTGGCTTCAGCCCAGACTAGACCCTGAACATCATAAGCAGACCAAAAAAAAACAAACCACCCAAAAGAGATGAAGCGCTCATGTTAATGTTCCTCCCTCTCTTTCCCCCCACTATATTTAAGAAAGGACCTCGTCCAAGAAACCATTATGTGACCCATTATGGCCGCCTTATTCAAAGAGGTGCTCCATTAGTCTCTATAGGACTGCTTATATGAAGAAGGCCCTTAAATAATGTCATCTCCTGAAACTCAGGAAATAAAAGAATTTGGAAGCATTTCACACTACCATGTAAAAGCAGGAAAGATTAAACATTTATACTTTTCATTTTATGATGGATTAAGTTTAAAATGTGTTTAGACATAGCATGCTTATTTTATATCCTAGCAGTTATCAGTTATTTAACCTATTTTAGTTGCTACATGTATTTCAGTCTAAGTGTGTATGCAAATATATATATATATGTGCAAATATATGTGTATGTATATATACATACATATAGAAAAAAATTATATGCAACATTTTTTCGCATTTAGAAAGGCACTGAATTTAATCATTTTCACTTTGACACATGCAGAAACCCACACCCATACAAATCATTTCATTTCAAGAACAGTATTTTCTGGTACAACACAAATCCAGTCAAACAGTTATTAAGTTAATCAAAGACTGGTGTTTATTAGCGGGGTAAATGTGTCATACTCAGTGTACTTGCTAACTGAAGCACTGTCAGTACGCCTCATGAGTGTGCTTGTATTATGCCTATGTGCATATATTAATGTACATTTTGTTCAGTAACTGCAAGTCTGAAAGATTAAAACAAAAGGAGGAAATCAGCTGAATTTCTTAGTGGGTGTCAAGTAAGATTTAGATTACAGTGGAACAATGTCTGGGTAATATGCCTGCTGAGCTATATTCTCATCTCATTTACACTGGTTTAAATCAAGAGGAACTCTGTTAACTAGAGTTATTCAGGGCTTAAATAGGCATCATTTAGATGAGAATCTGGCCCACTGTCTGTAGACGCTATAACTTTATTTCATTTCCCGATGCGTTGCTCAGTCTGCCCTGAATACTGAAGTAACGTAATTTGCCACAGGACCAAGGGAAATTATCTATTACTTCAGGTCTCTCTTAAACTTAGTGAAACCAACACTCTGGACTACCTCCAGTAAATGATTCACTTCCTTCACTGACCACTTTAAAGTATCCCAAAGGTCCCCAGCATAATTTTGTTTAACCTTTATTTAAAATACCCATGCCTTGTAGTCAAATAATTTTTCCCGGTCTCTTGGGTAGTCATTTAAGCTAGGGACTGCTATAACCCAAACCTCATTTATTAAATTACGGATTTCCCATCAGTTCACAGATGACCTAGTTTAAATGTTGGATTTTATTGCTAGAGAGACATAGATGAGTACTTATGTGTTAGTTATGCTTCTAACACTTTCTTTTATATCACTTATTTTCACCAAGGCAACGTGGTGATAGAGGTCTTCTCCCCTTTCTTGCTACCAAAAAAATCTAGCCATCTGATCACACACCAGAGTTTTGTGCACAGATCTTTTCGTATTGTTGTTCGTCTGAAAACCAATTTTTTGGATGGATTTTGTTTCATTAAACAAAATGAGCAAAGATGAATGACAACAAAAAAGTATACCGGTATAGGAACAACAGGTCTAAGGAACAAGACATGATTATAACTTCCCTTTCCCGTATCTGCAAAAACTGTAATTGTCCAAGAAACACATTTCCCAAAGATGCTTAAAAAATGATTTTCACGCATTGAGGTCCCTGTGATCTGTAATCCTTGACGTTGCCATGCAAATACATTCAGACGACAAAACAATATCCCATACAAATACAGATGACTATTTTACTATGTACAACTTCTAGCCCACTGCTGTTTCTATTTTAGCTAGGATGACAGTTAACTTTTTAATGTCCAAATGAAAGAAATACACACATACACACACACACACACACACTCAGTGAAAGTTACTAATTGCACAATTGCTATGTGTGTGTATATATGTAGATATATAGAGATATACACATACATATAGATAGATAGAGATATATATATTGTATATGCAGATGGAAAGAGAGACTATACAGCATGAGGACTTGGAATAAGCTTCTAAATTCTATGAATTATGGACGAATACCCAGCTGAAGGCAGGTCACGGTTATCTATGGTCAAAACAAACTGGCAAAAATAAATGGCTTATTCCCACCTATTATGTTATATTAATGCTGCAGTTGGCTCTCTCTCTCTATTTACGCTGATTTATACCATTTGAATATATGTGTAATTATTTACTGACTCATTTTGTTTTCGTTGCCTGTGTATCAGCAGGTCAGCAAAAGTGAAAGAAGGGAATACAGAAAGAAACTTGCATTTCTTTGATGACAGCCAGATGGTTATAAGGAAGAGTTATAGCACTTGGCTCTAAGTTCTCCTCTGCATCGATAAGCGATTGCATTTGATCTGAGGCTAAATGAATGTAGTCTAAAGATGGAGCATGTGTATGCGTGCACTCTGCCCAGGAACTAAAACTGTAATATGAAAGTGTGGATGGCGGATGGTGATGGTGAATTCAAGGCAGACATGCTGTTTGGTTATTAAAATTTCACATTAAATCTTCCTGTATAAAAAAACAAAGCAAAATCACATTTGCCCCACAATGAACTCTGTCTCCTCAAATCATCACCAGGATTTTTTAAGATTAATTTTTCTTTTTCTAAAAGTTCAAGCAAGAGGGGAAAAAAAGTTTATTTTTTTATCATTCTTATTTTGTTTGTTTCTTTCATTTCCAAGGTATTTTGTTCAGCTACTTTTTCAATTAATTGTTCCTTTGGGCCCTAGTTGCTGAATTGCTTGCTGTTTCTGAGGTGTAAATAAACGTTTTGATTTATGA